CTTGTAATATTTTGCTTTTATAATATCCCATAGATAATTCAAGAATCCAAAGGGGAAATTTATGAGCAGTACATAAGGAAGAACAGAAAGTATCAGTAGTTCTTAAAGTTCAATTCTGAAAAAATAAATTCTTGGAGAAAACAAGAAATGTTGACTATATTTGCAAGCAACATGAACATTTGCATAAAGCCAGTCCTTTTTTTGTCCTCTTCTTGACGCAACTCTCCAACAAAGTGACAGAGCAACTGGCATCAAGTAACTACACAGTCAGCCACGCTGAGGAACAGGAAGGGAAACTCAACTGTCACATAACCAAATAGATATTTAAATTATCTTTGCTTTGCGTGATTCTTCACCCCATCTTGGTTGTCACTCTCATTGTAAAATAGCACCGTGAAGTGATTAGAAATAGTAGAGAATTCTAATGTCAGCCACTTGAACTCTCTGGCGTATGTTCTAGATAATTATTTTTCTATAGATAAAGACTACTGGGGAAATGATAAGTTTAGCTATGTCTTGGACTCTCACCATATTTATAGAGAAATGGCTTATTTTAAATTGTAGTTAAATCAATTTGATGTGACCAAGATGAAAAGCAAGCTCTTATTTTTACCGGAATGTTAAAAGAAACAATAACAATTGAGAATATTTGAATGCTTTGATTTCAGCTTTAGCTTTCGTTATAGTTCGTCATGCAAACTCAGCCCAGGAGCTGTTTTCTCTTTCAGGGTAACTGTAAATGGTGGTGCCATTTCCCTGGAGTACTTTTTGGACATCTGAATTTGCTATTTTGTATTTTAAGTGAATATTATATTAAGTGATTTTGTCCTCCACTCCAAATAATGCCATTCTAGAGAGGGGAAATTCTGTCCACATCCATAAATAAGTCTATCAAAGTCTACAAATAGGAATCCTCTCTGACTACCAGATGTGTTGGTTTTGTGAGTAGTTCGATCACCTTTCACTCAGAACATGGTGGCTTCTCCCTCTGATGTTCAGCTAGAGCAAAGACTCTTTCCAACACAACAGAATCACTTTATTGTTGTATGAACAACAGCTGTAAGTAAATCTCTGGAGATGAACTGTTCTACGTAAGTTATGAACAGAACTCAAGAGCAAATCATTAACGATGGCCAAAACATAATTTGCTGGACAAAAATCATTATGCCTAAAAAAAAACAGATTTCTGTTCTTAAGGAGCTTTCTGGAAAAGACTCTAAGAACCACGATGAATGTCTAGTTCTCTCATCCCTACCCGGGAGTCTGACAGGATTCATGGTCAAACACAGGGTGAAGGCACAACCATGTAGCCAAGATTCTGTGAAGAAATATTGAACCTCACTAGTATTGTAATTTTTTTTAGGGTTTTGGGGGGAAAGAACAATTGATGTATATATTATTTAATATTTCCAAAAACCACTCTTACATTTTTACAAAAAGGAACTGTGCATGGCAATGTTGGGACCATTTTGGCATGGTTAAGGAACAGTATAAAAGGCAGAAAACAGAGTGTGGCCATAAACAAACAACTGTCTGTAAGTCTAAGGAATCCCAGCTGGTGTTGAATTTTATCTTCTTATCTTTAAGCATCTGGACTCTTCAGATTTAGAGATATGCCAAATTGTTCCAAAATGTAAAAATCTAAGCCATGAAAGAAAGAAAAATCCTGGATGAGAAAAACCAGCGCATGTGAAGAACTTTCTGGAAATTTATCAAGAGGGAGAAAATTTAGCCATGTAGAAAGTAATACATTTATAAAAAAATAATGCAAAGTCAAGTCTGGGGCAAGTTTAGCATTAACAGTTAAGACTCATGAAAGGAACCAGAGGATCACCAATAATCTAGTTCCCAAAGTTGCTGCTTCATTGTCTTCTTTTTACTGACAAAACCTGATGAGGTTTTTGTTTGTTTGTTTTTTGTTGTTTTTGGGGGGGGTGTAACTAGGTTTGTTTATTTATTTATTTATTTATTTATTTATTTATACATTCATTCTTAGAGGAGGTACTGGGGATTGAACCCAGGATCTCATGCATGCCAAGCACACACTCTACCACTTGAGCTATACCCTCCTCCAATGAGGTCTTGACTAAGGCGTTGAGTATAAGATGGGAAGAAATTAGGCAGAAACAGAAAAGTGTCCTACCCATATTTAGAACCATAGAAATATGAGCTCCTTGGAATTAGAGCTATTTCTGCCATTTTTAAAAAATCTAACCTCAAGGCTGACTTAACAGAGTTAGAAAAAATTTGATGAAGGAGCATCCCTTGAAAAGGCAGCTCTAGGACATAAAAGAGATATTAGAAATCTGTGTAGCTTAGATAATGAAAGGTAGAAATTGTTACTGGTCATGTGTTAAAAATATAAATAGTTTTACAGGGTTGGGTAGCTGTAGATAATGTGTACCCAAGAGATGAACGAGAAAAAATGGGCTATTTGAGCTTTATCTTTAACTTTTGATGTTGGTGCTACTGGGAAATTCAGTATTTCTGTGTGTGGCACATAGAAAATGAGCAATAAATGGGAAAATTATTATAGTTAATACCAATAATATTATGACTTTTATTATCACCTTCAGAGGTCCTAATTAGGGCCAGATTTAGACGTTCTCTTTCTTCCCAGATAGGTCATCTGTTGCAAGACTATGAGTAATTACATGTGTCCGAGGCTCTGTAGCACACGGCACAAGGATTTTTAGTAGGTCCCCAAAAGGTATTTGTTGAATTCCTGTTACTTTCATTAACAGATAAGTCATTCCTCACATTTTCAAGGTACCTTATAGGTTTTAATACTCTTTAATGTGTCCTTAGCTTTTATTCCTCATAAGTAACTGAACATATGAAATTGAGATCTTCTAGGGAGATAAACGCATGTTAATTGCTCTTTTCATATGGTATCATTTGAACTTGAGATCATTACACATTGATACTGATTTTTGTCCTTAAATAAATCACGTTTTGACTTTCTTAACTAATTTCTTCATTATCATGTCAGTGCCCAATGGATTGTGCCATCTGGACTATTACTGAAAGAATAAAATGGTGAAAGTCAGAGGCAATCTTGCAAATTTGTTTTGGGAGATTTAGCTGATGCAGACATATTAAATTTTCATTTTGTAGTAGTTATCAACTCCGGAAATCCTCACCAATGTTGACTTTTCTTTAAAGCAACAGACCTGAAAACCTTTATTTTGTTCATTGGTGAGTTATTTTCTAAAAATTATAGAAATGAGAGATTTCTAAAGAAAAACATATCAAGTTGGAGCTTTACTTCTTTAATGCATTAGAACAACTTTCTTTTGGAAGGAGAGCAGAATTGACTATGGAGATAGATACTTAGTTGGGATGACACGAAAGCTTTAATTATCTCCAAGAATGAATAAATATTAATGACTGCATAGCTGGTCTGGATTATTTTGTGAAATGATGAATCAGTACACAGTGTTTGACTTACACTATTTTGCTCTGCCTTTTTATCTTGATGGTACTATCTGGTTTTTCTTCATCTCTCTCTCTCTGTCTCTCTCTACATACTTGTGAGGCTCCCATTTTTCACCTCTGAGAAATTCTAGGATAAAGAACTATCCTGTCCTTACCCCCATCCCATCCTTTTCACATCCCCAAGCCAGCACATATTAATCATTCCTTTCTTTGGGTTTTTCTAGTACTATGTCCTTCTTCATGGAATTTATTTTCCCTGACATTTTGTCCTCAACGAGCATGTGCTATGATTCCTTCTAGGGGCTGTAAGCAAGAATAGTTTCTCATTTCAGTTTGTATCCTCAGGAGATTCAGTGTCTAATGTAATGACTTCTCTTAGGATAGCTGATGTCCCAGGCATTCAGGTACATCCACAACAAATTTCACTTCTTGATTCGTTGGCAGTGGGAGGAGCACTCAGTGTAATTATTTGCTCTGTTGGCATCCAGCACGGAGTGATGCTTTTATCTCAGTGGGGAGCACTAGAAAGATGGAAACTCTGCTTTGCTGTCTCTTACTGGGTTTCAGGATGGAGACTCAGGATGGATTCCAGGGTCGAAAGCACTCTCAATTTCAATTTTATTATTTGGTTTAACGTGAATTTTTAGAACATCAGACATTCCCATGTTCAGGTGTAAATATTCTTCAAAGCCTGTCTGGCATGGTGGAAAGAGTATATATATTCTGGTAGTAAAGAGACTTGGATTTTAGTCCTATTTCTCATATAACAAAGGAGAACGTTATGTGTTAAGTAACAGCTCAGCTCTGATGCATTTGAGAATATGAATGTTTTGGTCGTATCTGCTGCCATAGCAACTACCACCGTTTATTGGAGCTTACAGTGTACTTGATATTCAGTAAATATTCACTTTTTAGGTGTCTTCTTTTATGTATAATCGTCTTTACAAAGATAAATAAAGGAAAGTTCAGAGAAGTTAAATAACTTCCCCAGGTGATAGTGTCAGTAACATTCTAGGTATTTACACCATAAACACATTTCCTGCAAGTAATTTCACTACACAGCTAACTGGCTGTACAGCCATTTTGCTTTAAAATTTAAAAATAACTGGTTGATTGACAGTTGTGGAGTTTTATTACCCTAGAAAATGATAGCATACCAGTCTTTGCAAATCCTTTGGTGAGCCAGTCCTCCCTCCTACCCGTCAGAATCAGATGTTTTCGAAGTTAAGCAAGTGTAAGAGACGAGTAGTAATTCCCAAGAGCCTCTGAGAACATTAATAATTGATTCTTTAGACAATTTAGATACAACATCTTGTTCTCTCTTGCTGTCTTTCCCATATTTATCAAGTGTTAGAAGCTGGAGGCAAAAAAGAATCAAGTTCCGCCTATCCCCCAGCCCCTCAAGTGGTTACATGATTCCTGATGAGTGTAAATTTCTTGAAAACGGTGAAAATTTTAACAGTATGTGGCTTACATTAGCTCACCAAAGGATTTGCAAAAACTGATCTGTTATCATTTTCTAGTGTGATGTAACTGTCAATCATTTATTTTATCTTTTACAGCAAAATGGCCTCAGGCCAGTTAGTTGTACGGGAAACTGCTTGCAGGGAAGATGTTTACGGGAAAATAGCGGACACGTGTTAGGTAAGCTGTAGAGCTGACATTTGAATCTAGGTTAATCTAGTGTGTGTGTGTGTGTGTCTGTGTGCGTGTGTGTGTCTGTGTATATATACATATTAAGGTAATAAATATCATTATATATAGTGTGATGTTACATTATATATATATATATATGTCTCATGATCTGATTCCACTAAATAATTTGAATTCTCCATCTTTCCTTTCTTCATTCTGCATTTAGTTTGAAAATGCCTCTTTTTATTTTACAAAGAGATCAGTCCAGTAAAAGACTTCTCAAGATAAGATGAGTAATAATCAAGGGATTTTTTTGGTGTTTTTTTTGGGGGTTTCTTTTTTTTTCTGAGACTTGATTACTTTACAAGCATTATAGTTCACTCATCATAGTACCTGGGTGTCTTATTTAGGAGGTAAGTACAGTTAGTGATGGAGGAGAAAACAGCATTCTGAGCTGTCCTGAAGGAGAAGAGTGAGGTGGAAAGAAACAGAACAAAGCAGAGCACAAACAGGACAATGGCTGGAGGGCTAAACAGGGGACTAGGCTTATGTCAGCTTCCCTGGGGACCCATCACTGCATTAGACACACTGGCCCACCTCGCATCCCTCCTTTCCACTGACTCTGAGCAGCGTCAGACCATGAACAGGAACCAACCATGAACATTCCCAGAACTGGGGCACATCAGAATTCCACAGCAGTATGTCCATCACTTTACTCCACATACCACCAGGGTTATCACGTGACGTGATTTGCACATTTGTTCTTATTATCGATCACCACAGAACAGATTTGTATCCCAGTTAGCCACTTTGTCTCTTTCATTTATTCTTTGGGTCAGATGTCTACTAACTCATATCATTTGCATAACTTCTCAGATCTGTTTCCAGGGAAACAGTTGTGCTTTCTGTGCAAGTATAAGATTTTATGCTAACTCCCCTTTGTCACATTTTGTTACAAAGAGATATTTTGGGCCTTTCTTCCTCAGAGCAAATTTCATGTTAGGAGTCTTCCAGGTGCCATCTGTGGAAGGTACTGAGATTGTAAAGGACTGGATTGCCTGTGAAAGATCTGCTTTCTCTCTTTCTCTCCCTTAGCAAAGACTTGTTAATAAAAAGTTAATGAGTCCTCGGTATAAAAGCTTTAGTTTTTAAAGCTTTTTGCTACCTGATATCTTTCTTAGACTAAGACTTAGAGAACCCAGAAAAGGAATTCAAAATAGGACTAACATTTTCTTTAAAAATTTAAGGATCTTCCTCTTTTGGATGAGAGGAAGGAGATTTCTTTAAATATTTGACTTTTCCCCCTTTCTGTTGTTGGCAGCCTTCAGATGTACACATCTCATTGAAGTCATTCCAGGCTGAAAGCCTTTATGATCAAATACCAGAAAGCTAAAAATAAGTATTCTACTCTTTCTCTAGAGGTTATTGAATGTTTCTCTTAACCTTTCTGGTCAGGTGGCCTTTTAGGAAGAGATAGATGTTAATGATCGCTGGAGGCAAATGTGGTGGAAGATCAGTAAATAATTCAAAAATAGCTGCACTCAAAACCACCCTTCAGTGCCAAGCAGTCTGGCTTGTTTCACAACTTAAATAGTTTTGAAAAATGGTGTGCAGCCAAAAGCCCAAGGCCAGTGTTATGTTACACCAGTAGTAGCTATTGTATTTGATGGCTTCAAAGCCGTCCTCCGTTTTCCTGGCACCATCTCCTTGGATTTCCTTTGGGTAACTATTTCACCCCACTCTCAGTCCAGGTGATTTGAGTGGGGCGAGTCAATCAGGATCAAGGGTGACAGGAGGGAATGTGACTCAGGCTTGGCAAATCAGAGACTCGTGGCCAGGAGTTTTGCTACAACCATTGGAGAAAGAGACCCTTTCTTTCTGCAGATTGTTAAGCTGGTAGGTGTAAATGTAAGGTGAAATTTGTCTGAAAGTGAAACCAGTATAGAGGAGAGCAGAGCCATAGAGCAGAGTGAAAATTGGTCTTGACAACAACTTTTTGAGCACCTGGATCCAGCTGTACCTGAAGCTTTTCAGCTACTGAGTCAATAAATTCCCACTTTAAATTAGTCTAAGCTAGACTTCTGGTAATGAGTTCTGAATTATACATTCCTCTTAATTATCTTCAATCCTCATCTTTTTCCAAGGGATTCTTTTGCAGCTGCTGCCAAACTTGGTTATTTTCATTTTTTAGGGTGGGGAGAGGTTTCTTTTAAAGTTGCGTGTTTTTATTTCTTTGGGTTGCTAAGCTAAAATAAATCATCATTCTTTCCCTCTTAAACTTAGAGCAAGCGAAGACACAAAGATAGTCAATTTTTGTCTTTTTTATACCTCTGAGGTCTATGGCCTAGACTCGACTTGTCACAGTTGCAGAGATTTCAAAGAAAGAAGATGACATTTATAAAGAATGTTAAAGGGCGAATTAATTTCACAGGGTATTGCCCATTAACTTCTTAATTATGTGACTATAGTCAGGTTTCTGTGGCTTTTTCTTCCTCCTAGAAAGAAGTCTGGTAATACATACTCTTGATCCTACTGCAGTTTTTCAGATTCACCCCTTTCTGAGGGAGTTTCATTACAATATGGACCATGGGAGGTAAAAGCTGTGTTTTATTTACTCTCATATCATGTGTCAGTGGTCCTGGTATGGAATCCATGGTCAGAAAATACTTGCTGAACCAAACTGCTTTATCTAACTTTGTCATCAACGTATATATTTATCCTACAGAGTCTCTTCTTTAGTGATGTTTTCTCATTGAGCACCTTCTACAGTCAGATTTTGTGAAAGACATTCATGATACAAAAATGAGGAGGCATATTCCACCCAAATGCACTGCTCATCAGCATGGAAGAATGACTAATAGAGTGTATCTCCTTTTCTTCCCCAAATACACAGACGTGACTGTTTGAAATGCATTAACCCGCAAGGACAAGGAGAACAGTCAGGAGAGAATGAAGCAATGGATCAAAGACGCAATTGTTTTTTGTTTTTTGTTTTTGGTTTTTTGGAATAAGAAAAGTGATGGAGAAGTAAGTGTTCACATTTAGCAGAGCAGAGAGAACTATAACCCACCTTCCAACCCAGTGAGAAATAAGCCAGTTTGCCCTCAGAACTCAGTACTGTGAAAAACTTAGATGAGCAACAAGGCTGAAAAGAGAGAGATTTATTGAAACAGTAGGTCTAGAACAGCTGGATCCCTAGGACGCTTCCCCACTCCATTGCAACCTCCCAGCAAAGTCGGTGTTTTATGTTCTAGAAATACGGGGCAGCTCCTAAGCTGAGCATGCTAGGTGCGGTGGGAAGAGCTGGACTGGAAAAGGTAACCGCAAATCTATATTAATGACTTTGGTCCCTTTTCCCCGGTTTGCCTCCAGGGTGCTGGCGCCCTGCCTAGCTGGGGACTTGGGGGATTCCCCTCTGGAGTAAGACGCTGGCCCCCAGAGCCACGGCCAATGGCAAGGACTTTTAAAGTATAAAGGCATGAAATTATATAGGAAGACACGTGCACACATACACACACACACCTGGAGAAAGGCATTGATTCAGCTTCAGTAATTCAGCAAATACTTCTTTAAGTTGACAGACAGCCCAGGCCCTGTGGAATCCAGGGTATCCTTAGAGTTTCCAAGACTGGCTAGAGAGAGGAGTATGCTCTCTTTCGGAATTTAAAGAGTGAATGATAGAACTTAAAATCTGTTTACCTGTATATTCCTCATAATTTTAAACTTAACAATTTTATTCTGGGCTTTTGATTGACAGATGCTAAAGCTTTCATTGGAAACAATGGTTCTGTATTTACATAATTCAAAAGTAACTTAAAATTTGTATACTTTGTCCTGTCTAAATATTTTCTATGCGTTACATTTTTCTTAATAGTTCTTGAAATCATGGTCAGCCTCTTACATTGATGATCACCCCTTCTAAGATTTTATTTTTTTGGTCTGGTGCCTTAGGTCAGTTTCATTACTTTTGATCTTCAAGTTCCTTGAGATCAGGACTCTGCCTCACTCACTTCTATATCCACACACACACAGATGCTAAACACATGCTTGTTACCTTTTTTGCATGTCTATTGTTGAGTGGTCCTGGAGTCCTCAAGCACCAGCGCAGTGTCAGGTGCTTGAGCAGTGTATCAGGCATCATTTTATTTTCTATATTTTCTGATGCTTTGACATCTTGGGGCCTTGCTAACCTGTGAGACGCTGCCACTTCCAGGGCTGACCAATCTGACTGGTGCACAAATGCTCCTTTCATAAAGAAACCAACAAACCCAAGGCCCACATCCCCACCACTTCCTCTTTCTGGCTGTCACAGAGCTCTGACACTTTTTTATTTTATTTAATTATAATTATCTTTAATCTCATGCATGTTCTGTGAGGCACTGATATGTCCTGAATTGTGCCCACCCTCCCCAAATTCATATACCGAAGCCCTACTCCCCGGTACTTCAGAACATGACTGTTTTGGTGTATAGGGCCTTTAAAGCAGTGCTTAAGTTAAAATGAGGCCGTTAGGGTTGGACTCTAGTCCAGTCTGACTGGTATCCTTATAAAAACTGGAGATGAAAACACACAGAGAGGTACCACAAATGGGTGCGTACAGGGAAAAGGCCACATGAGGTCACAATGAGAAAGTGGCCGTCTGCAAACTAAAGACAGAGGCCACAGGAAAAACCCACACCTGCTGCCACCTTGGTCTTGGTCTTCCAGCCTCCAGAGGTGTGAGAATATAAGCTTCTGTTGTGTGGGCCATCCAGGCTGGAGTTTTATGTTGCACCAGCCCTAGCAGGCTAGCATAGGCACAAAATAGAAACTGAGGAATTCATTAAAAATTAAACCATGTTCTTAGACCAAATCAGCCTTCTGTTCAGGACTAGTTCTTAGCAGAAACCGTGGAATGTCTACTAAATTAATGTTCTGAAATGTGAATGGCTATCTTTTTATATTGGTGATGTTTAAAATACCTGGCAAGGCACACTGGCTCTGTGAAGTACCCTGTTATGCAGGATGTA